TCCACACAGCATTAAGCCTACTGGCCAGGGTTTAAATTGGAGATTCAACACCAGGGGAGGTGACATCTCTTTCACAAGAAACTCACATTTTACTACATGTGTTAAAAGTAGCCTGGGGTTTACCTAGAAACAGTACTTACCAATCTTTTCTACATCATGGCATACAAAAAAAAGCTAGTATTCACAAAGCACACTGGAGTAAACAGAGGCTCCTTATGGAGCTCTGGCACTTCCAGGCAATAGCCCAACTACACAAAGAGGTGACAGGAATAATTAACTAAGCACACTCACAACTAGAGTGACCATGTGTCCCAAGCTGCCTGTTGTCCAGGTGGAACTATTAACAGTTCCCACTTTTTCAAAAGCCTTCCAGCTTGGATAATGGATCATGATTACCCTATCTAGCACCCACTCAACACCAGTCACTTCTACCATTTGGGAAGCTCTGAGTTACAGCACTGCTCCCACCAAGTGGGTCTCAACTCTAGTTGCACATTATTTCACCAAGAGAATCTTTAAAAACACCAATGCCCAGTTTTACCCTCCTGATTCTGGCCTAGGCATCTGCATGTTTAAAAGCTCTAGGGTCGATTCCATTGAGCAAGGGTTGAGACTCACAGCACCTGGTTTGAACAAAGAGTGCACCATTCAGTAGCATATCACTCTACTTTCCTCACTTTAAGCAAAATAATAACCAGGGAGAAATAAATGAACTCTTGTACTATGTTCATTCGCACTTCCTCCTCTCCTGCCACACCCAACCCCAATCTCTCTCTACGCACCTTAGGGGTTAACCTTTGTTACTAGCCCCCACTGCTCAGAACTGGTGAGAGCTCCATGTTTCTACTTCACTCACCTTACGTGGTTTGCTCATATTGGCACCAATGAGTTATCTGTTAATCCCTACCTATCTTTCAAAAATACCTAGAAATTGCTGCTCTATTGATGATGCTGTTTCTTGTTTTCTAACGTTGCTATATTTGTCTACTCATTTTGCATTTTTTTAGTCACTTTAATGAAATTTTGGAAGAGGAAAAGGGAAAAGGGCTTAGTCTCAGCATTTTCAAATCTTTTTTCATCACGGTTTTTATAGACAGCAAAGGCTAGTTCTAATTATTTTGTTCATGTACACTTTCTTGTTCTTACCATTCAGCAATAAATTGAATCAATAATCACCTTCCATAAAAAATGGATCCCTTCTGAATCCAAGATAACATTGTCAATAATAGTACTGGCTAAGGGTTGTGACATGTCTCCCCACCCATTCAAATTATCATTCAGATTCTTATTACAAATGAGAAGTAGGAGCTTTGCAAATATAAAAAACTGAGGGTGAGACCTAATAGTAATTAGGTCTAAATACTAAGCTTATATAAATTTAGATGTTTTTAATGTCAAAATTAAAAGAAAATTTCTATACTTTTAAACTATCCCCAAGTAGTCTTATAGTCAAGGTATAAATTTCAGCTTGCAAAAACTACTGGCATCTGTTAAGTATCTACCACCAGTAAAATTCTTATTTATCATTAGTTACCCAACTACTGAAGACCTATTCTGACTGATGACTGAGGAAAAAAATCTAAAATTGAGTAAAAGAATGGTCATAATGCTTCAACAATTTCTAAATGATTAATAAACAACTTGGATCCCTCCTCTCACCACTTAAGCCTACCCAAGATTCAAAGCACAAAATTTCAGTAAAGAAAAGTAATTTAAGAACCTTAGAGATGGGTATAACCAAATCAACTTTTTTAATGTGAAGGCTCGTAGGTAGCAGCCTATATAATAAAAGGTCACTGTGTCAAAACTATGTACTTCCTTCCTTCCTCCCCTATCTTATATATGATTTGTGGGCAAGGAGGAATAAAATTGAATAAATTTTAAATTAATACAGGCAAAATAAGAATAAATTCAAATATTTTCTTGCACATCACATATGTAAATCAGATATCATTATGTAAGGGTGATTGAAAAATGTTTAGCTTATTTAGAATTCTTATTTAGGGTCAATTTTAAGTATTTAGCTCCTCAGCCAGTAAACTGTTTTAAAAATACTTTTAAATGTACTACAAAATGGTTTCATGTTTTATGTATTTTCTATTAAATATAATCAATGATTTAAACAATTACCAAAAGTACTTTATTTGTGAACAGTGTGAGACTTGATGATACTAGCTTTGTATAGTTTTACTTTCTGTTTGGCAAGTTTTACAAATTCAAAGTAATAAATATGTTCATTTTCTTACTCTTTCCAAAGGTTCAATTTAAAAAAGACTATTACTGCTTTAAAATTTCAAAACAGACATAATCTGTGCTTATAACATTTTCACATTTGTCCGTTAAGAGTATGATGCTATGAAGAGAAGAAGGGAGAGCGGCTGTGAGGAAGGAAAAGGAGACAATATTCTTATAATAAACATTGATAAAATTAAGAGCAAAAATGGATACTATCACAACCATATAAAAACTTTCTGCTGCTTTAGCACAACCTGGTGGTGATTAATTTTAGGTACAGTAAATGTCGGAAAAATCACTAAGATTTTCTAGTTACTTTAAATCCACTTAGAGTAATACCATTTTAATTCAGAAATTTAAATATACACATTCAGAGCAACTGTTACAAACAACATATGCCTTGTAAAAAAAAAAATGGCCTGTCCAAAAAAAGTTAGCCAAAAGCAATATCAAAATTACATGATTACAGTAGGCTGAATTTGCACACAATTTCCTTTAGGTAAACATTAAAAAGTAAAATAATCACACATTTCTCTCTCGTCATCAAATTATTTCAAAAAACCTAATATTGGTACTCCAGTGAACAAAAATATAAGTCTCTTTATGACTAACTGACCAGAATAGCATAAACACTCCTTTGCTTCATTTCTTCAGCATCTTTCCCCCAGCACTCTTCTTTAGTTCCTACAGCAATTACTTTGTTGAGTCAACTTAAGAAAAGTCTAAAAAGTAAGGCTTTATAGGAGTTGCTACTGGTTACTGATACAAGTTCTTATTCTTTATAATAGAAAATTTGTGTCTATTGTTAAACTGAATAGCATTTGGTATCCAGCACACCAGTCTTCAATGTGTACTGAAGTTTATTCAGAAAGGCATGGAATCAGATTATCCTAATAATTAAAGTATGAAAATTGACATTCTTTTAGAAACAAAAAAAACCAAATAAAATTTGATATTACCATAAAATGGGTTTGCTCTAGCTCTTTTCACTGTTTCACATTTTTTTTTTTTTTGTATATTAAGTTGTAAATAGTTGAGAAACTAGACACTCAACTTCCCAATATATTTGGGAAGATATGACTTTTCCCAATATATTTGGGAAGATATGACTTGAATGTGTATAGTATAAAATAGTATAGGTAGTTAAATGCTAAAAGAACTCAGAAGAAGGTAATTGCAAAGATGTGTTTTATACTACATGTGTCCTGCAAGTATTTACATAACTCATTTCTCCACTTTACCCATTCTATAACTTATAAACACTGACTCCCATGTGCTCCCTGGGTTCATCTGAAGCACAGAACACAGTAAATGATTTGAGTGATGATTTTCTCCATTCCCCTAAGGATGATACATAATCAGTACCATTCTAGATGCCACAGGGAATTATGGCTTAATTCTCTCCTGGAAACCCAATTGAGAAAGACTGTGATAGACACTAGACCACCACCTCTTCTTCCCCAACCCCTCTTCCCCAAAACAGTCTAGCCTAAGACCCACAGTATTTTACCAATGGCAGACTTTGCCCTGTATTCACAACCACAGGGGAAAGTTGTTTGGAAACACTCAACTTTATATATTTAAATACTACGCTTCCTCTTAAGTTATATTTTTCTCTTCAGTCCCTACCTTTGCCACGTTCCATTCAGTATATAACAAGTTATTTTTTCATGACTTTTTACTTATTTTCTATCCACAAACAACAAAAATCTTCAGTTTTTCTAGAGATCTAGAATCTACGATTTTGAAACATTTTGCATAATATAAGGTACATACAAATTTTGAGTTATCCTATTCCTGTGAACTAATAAGGAAAGATAAATTATTATGCTCAAAAAGGTAGTGTGGATTTTGAATACCTTTGCTTGACTCTCCTAAGAGGATAAACAAATGCTAAAAGATGCTAAGGTTTTTGTGATATGTGCTAACTAGAAAACTCTTAAGGTTCATTTTACCAAGCCATAGCAAATAATTTAAGAGCATCTCATTCCACACTAGATGAATCTTTTTTATCACAATGCAACATAATTTGAAACTAAAGATTACTTTTCCTTGCTAACACTGAAGAGCCACAGTTTAGCTTCTTTAGTGATTTGACCTCTTTCCTCTTAAGACAACCGTGACAAAGATTCTAAAATAACAAACTCTAAAACAGTTAAAAAACTATCCCAACACATCAGTACGTTGAAACACTAGTTACCCTACACTGTACTATAGACCATGGGTTGGCAAACTTCTGTAAAGGGTCAGATAGTAAACATTTTCAGTTTTGCAGGCTGCATGGTCTCTGTAGCAACTACTCAACTCTGTCACTGCAGCACAAAGGCAGCCATAAACAATAAGTAAAAGAATGAGTATGGCTGCGTTCCAATAAAACTTTATTTATGGATACTGAGTTTCATATTAATTTTCATGTGTCTCGAAATATTCTTTTTTTTTAACCATTTAAAATTGTAAATACAATTCTTAGCTCACAGGCCATGAAAAGCAGGCAGTCGCTGGATCTGGGCCAGAGTCCGCTGTCCCTTATACAGGCTCTTATATGTTATGCAAAATGTCTAAAAATTAGAGGTTCCAACTTGAGAGACTTTGGAGACTTTTATTTTTTAGATCTCTCATTTTAAAACAGACAAGTTCTCTACTTTCTGGATAAATATACTTACATGAGAGAGAAAAAATAATTCAGAATACAAACTCTTACGTAAAAAAAGAAAAACAAAAGAGAAAGAAGTAAAATGAATGTTTCACCTTAAAACATATAATTAGGAAATATTTAAAACTTTTATTCTATGCATTATAAAACAATATGCATAGATTTGGTACATAATTTCTTAGTTTTCACTTTAGGAAAAAAGACAATGAGGAAAAGGTTTATAAATCTCTCCATCACTTTTATAAAAAGTTGAACTGAAATTGGCAATCCCTTGCATGTACAACCATCAACTCTGAATATAATATGAATTATATCCAGGAAATGGAATTTACCTAGATGAGTTCTGAGCGCTCTTTAAAAAATGCACAATTATATCACAGAACACTATGGCTTCTACAGTTTGGGGCACTTTTGAATAGGAAACTCTTGCCTCCATAATATAAGGAAACAAGAATACTCTTTCCATAGTCATCAAGTATAAAAAACCTTCACAGTCTGATTTGCCTTTATCAAAGGTAAAATAATTTACAGCTACATTTCATGGACTATTTTGATCCTCAGTCGTTCCTAAACACAAAATAAATTTCGCATGAACTTTCATCTGTTTGGGTTTTCCAAAGCAAGATACTAATATAACATGTATTGAACTGGCAGAAGTCAACTAGCTAAAGAAGAAGAAATTAAAATATAAAATGTTTACCAACTTTATCCTTTCTAATATTACAACAGCTTCAGGTATTGAGACCTAATTGGTTTCTTGCGTCTATCCATTGTGAACATAACTCAGTCTTCTATTTTAACTCTCTTCAGTGCCATCTTTTGCTTGCTGCTTCACCTTGCGACGTATAAGATCATTTCGTCCAACTTCAATCATATGTTCTTCCCAAGATTTCATTTCATTATAATAACGAATTTTATCATCATTAGCAAGTTGAATATACACCTGAGAAAAATGCAATTGTTAAAATGATTTCTTTAGAAGAGACTTTGCAATTAATTTCTGGAATTTTTCTATATATACTCCAGAAATTACCTTACTATTCTACATATATAAAGGAAGACTGGAGAAGGAAGGTTTTTATAAGATAAAAGTTAGATGAGAGAAAGGTAAGAGATCAAGACATTGTAAGTACTAATGAAGCTATTAAAATTTCAGGGCTTGGGATGTGGAAAGAAGCAGAGGCAGGGTATGACTGTCAATGGATACAGCAGACACTCTAAGTTAGGAGTGACATCATTTTAAATACTAATTTTACTTGCAGTCCAAAACTTTTAAAAGAAAAAAGCCAAATTGGTTCTTCGAAGAATACGAAAATAATTTTAAAATATTCTGTGTTATAAGTTAATACAAGATTGTTTTGACATGAATCAAGCCTTGCCCTAATATATTCTTTCACAGATATTCTAACTAGACACTTGAGATAAAAACCATACTACTTACTTGCTTTTGAGCACTAGAGAGATTTTTCCAGTTTTCATTTACAGTCTTCAGCTTTACCTGTAAAATAACATGTTTAAGTACTAGATATAGGGACTTCAGTGATTAAAGAAAGATCTTTTTTTTATTCATTCCAACAACAAAAACTCAGATAATAAGAATCACAGGCAAAGCCTCACCAATTCTTAACATCTCTTCTTCCTAATTAACAACTATTAAACTATTAAAATGTACAAAAATCAATGGAATGAAGATATTTATCTTTTTTATTTAGATATAATTGACATGTAACACTTTATTAATTTCAAGCATATAACACGATTCAATATTTATATACGTTGTGAAATAATCACAAGTCTAGTTAAACTCCATCACCAGACATAGTTATAAAATTTTTTTTCTTGTGATGAGAACTTTTAAGGTCGTCTCTCTTAGCAACTTTCATAGGTGCAATACAGCATTATTAACTATACAGTAACCATGCTGTACATTACATCCCCAGGACTTATTTATTTTATAACTGGAAGTTTGTACCTTTTGACACCTTCACCCATTTTGCTCACTCCCCACCTCTGGCCACCACCAATCTGTTCTCTATATCTATGAGCTTGTTTTGATCATACAGCGTCTTTCTCTGTCTGACTTACTTCGCTTAGCATAATGCTCTCAAGATCCATCCATGTTGTTGCAAATGGCAAGATTTTCTTCTTTTGTGTGGCTGAATATTCCATTGTATATAGATACCACATTTTCTTTATCCATTCATCCGTCGACGGACATTTAGATGGCTTTCATGTCTTGGTTATTGTGAATAATGCTGCAATGAACATGGACGTGCAGATATCTTGTCGATTTAGTGTTTTTGTTTTCTTTGGATAAATCCAGAAGTAGAATTGCTGGATCACATGGTAGTTCTATTTTTAATTTTTTGAGAAATCTCCATACTGCTTTCCAAAGTGGGCCACAGCAACGTACATTCCCACCAATAGTGCACAACGGTTCCCTTTTCTCTGTATCCTCGCCAACACTTGTTATTTCTTGTCTTTTAGAGAATAGCATTTCTCACAGGTGTGAGGTGGTATCTCATTGCGGTTGTGATTTGCATTTCCCTGATAATTAGTGATGCTGATAACGTTTTCATGTACCGGTTGGCCATCTGTGTGTCTTCTTTGGAAAAATGTCTATTCAGATCCTCTGCCTGTTTGTTAATCATATTGTTCTTTTGCTTTTGAATTGTATGAGTTCTTTATATATTTTGAATATTAACTCCTTATCAGATATACGATTTGCAAATATTTTCTCCCATTTGGTAGGTTGCCTTTTCACTTTGTTGACAACCTCCTTTGCTGTGCAGATATTTATCTTTTTTGATTCAGAAATATTAATATTCAAGTATAATAATTTGTCACAGACTAACTTCAAAGAGTAAGAATTTTTATTTCTTCCCTGTAGCTTAATGTTTTATTCTAAAATTTGTGCCAAAGTGTTTAGATATAGTCATAGGACCAAGAAAACACCAGTCCTTAATTCTTCTTAGCTGAATTTAATTATGTGGCTTTCAAAAAGTCATGTTACCTCCCTTAAGCGTGGTTCTCCATCAATAAAATTAAAGGTATGCAGAGATCCCATGGCTGAAGGAGAGGCAGAGGGGAGAGTCAGCACACCTCACACAACCTGTGCTGTTGCTTCCAGACAGCAGAGACTGAAGGGGAAAATGGATGGGTGGAGAATAAGGGGCAGAGGTGGAGATGGAAGGGTAGAAGGGGAGTGTGAGGGAGAGAGGGATACAGTCTGAAAAGTATCTGTTTAAAGCTACAAGGAGGTCATCAGTGATTTTAAGGAGAAGCAGAGTGAGAATAAGGAACTTCACTGTTCTGACCAGAACTCTGACTGATTTTTATTTTCCTATCAGCAAAAATAGAGATACCAGATAGTATTTGAGACTCCACAACCATTATATTTTGAACATTTTAAACTTACCTTTATAAACACATCTAATATATTCAGGGACTGTTACTCACTAAATAACTGCTCTGACTCTTAGCTTTGGAAGAAATTGCTTCAGTGTTCTCAATTCTTTCAGAACTAATCTTTTTGCTTATATTTAATCCTTAAAGTTTCATATTCACTGAGCTCAACAATAATTTATGAAGTTGCATGCACAAATAATCTGATCTTTCACCTAAACATAATAATTCACTAAAAAAAATTAAAGGGATAGAAAGATGTTTATTTTTGCTCCCTCCTAAAACTGCATTCCACGAGCCCTTCCACCATGTGAGAACATAGCGAGAAGGTGCCAGTTATGAACCAGGAAGGCCCTCACCAGTAGGCTACCATGGTGGGGCCTTGATCTTGGACCGCCTAGCCTCCACAACTATAAGCAATACATTTCTGTTATTTAAAAAAAACAAACATTAAACAAACGAAATTTTTTAAGGCGTAAACCCACATGGACAAAGACAACAGGAGAGGGCTACCAACACAAAATTTTGGAAGCTAAAAAGCAGAGAAATGGTTTATCTAACCCTAGAAAGCTAATTCCCAAGCTGGCAGTGGGGAAACCCAAAAAAGCAAACTGATTTACAATGCAGAATTTCCAAGTAGCTCAGAAATTGGCAGCATCAGATAGGTATAAAACAGAGGTGCAGGTCAGGGTAGAAACAGGAGGACTGACTGAAAGTCTGTTAAAAAGAGGTTAAATCTCCCCCATGGGCAGATCCTAGGACATTTATCCTCTCAAAAGGGGAAAACAGAGTTACTCTATGGATACCAGGTACAGCCGGGGGCAATGGTACCATGCTGAAAACAGGGAGATTAAGTAAAAATGTATGCAGTATCCCAAAAAGAAAAGCAAAAAGGCTAAGAGAAAACAATACAGAAAAGATAAGAAAATTAGAGGACCAGTTCAGAAGATGCTTAAACAAATAATAAGAGTTCTAGAGACTCAGAATAAAGAAAAAAGAGAGGGAAAGGGAGAAAAAAGAAACCGAATCACATTCAAAGGACCAACAATCACAATGGCTTTATACTTCTCAAAAGCAATACAAGAAGCTAAAAGAGAAAGAAGCAATATTTTTAAAATTTTGAAAGAAGATGATTTCCACCCTAGAATTCTATGCCCAGTCAAACTATCAAACAAATGTAAGGTCAGAAACATCTTCAGGCATGCAAAAACTCAAAAATTAATCTCTCAAGTACGCTTACTGGGGGAGATGCTATAACAGAATCAGTAAACCAAGAAAGACAACAACAGAAGCAGCAAAAGCACCACAAGGATGCTGATGAGGGAAGATCCCAGATGCCAGCTGTGCACTAGGCACAGAAGGCAATGACCAAACTGCAACAAATCAGAGGCTCCAGATTGAAACTGACAGAATACCTAATGCATCTAAATGTACTGAAAGCTGGTGACATTGAAGAGTTTGAGGGTGAATTATTGATAGTATGTAATAAACTAAGCAAACAAAAAAATAAGACATAAATCAACTTAAGGGAAAGTTGCTCGTTTTGCAAGAAAGAAAAAATAATCATAGTAAATGGCACAGCTCAGTTATGAATAGGGTTTACATAATCATAAGTAATTCTGATCTAACCAAAAATTATGATTACTATATTGGGAGGTAGGGGGATGGAAATATGAACAGTGGGATAAGAAAGAGTTAAATGCTCATCTTAAATAGTGAGAGGTAATGCCTAAAATATAGGTAATGCTTAAAATTGAAACAAATTAAGAAGTAACAATATAATGAGGCTATTTAGAGACAAAGAGGTAAATACCACAAGAACCAGCTAAAACAGAATGTATTTACTCCTGGAGTAAGGAATATGACAGGGCAGTGAAAACTGCTATCTTTCATAACAAGCCTTACTTTGATTCTTTAAACTATGAGGACGTATAACCATTGTTTTTTTAAATGAATAAAAATGACATAGTCGAATTAATTTTAATTTCCAGGAACAGGGCCCAGCCACTAAGCTTCTGAGGTGATTCCAAGGTGCAATCAGAGTTGAGAACCACTGACTTAGAAGGATTTTCTAGCTAACAACCTTCTTATACCAATGAGAAAAGTAAATCCAAGATAAGTTAGTGATTGAGCCAATTCCAACTAAAAAATTAAATAGGCTTGCATTTTAGTAATGTAGGGCCATGGAAACTGAATTTAAAATCCCAAGGGGAGTAGAACTGTGACAGTATATAGCCAGGGAAGACTACGTCACATACACACACTATTTAATCATATGTTAAAACAGGATTTGTAAAATGAACTACAGATCCAAATAACCCAAAGAGGTAGAGAGGCAAAAACCTTCATCTCAGATTTACAAGAGTCAGGGATCTGAACATACACTTTTCTTACCATGTCATATTATAAAAGGAAAAATACAATTGCCAATTTGGAGCTTCTAAGAAAGAAATAAAGGAAAGACTAAGTCACAGCAGGAATGACATGCTTTTTTTTCTTTGACACATTCATATGATGACATTCGACTGTATAATACATTCCCATGGGCACAACCAAAATTTTATTAAAGGATATAACATGAAGCAGTAGATTATACTCAAATCCCAGTACAAAATATTATAGCTCTACTCTCATTTTTTCCCAGTGATTGTAAAACAGTTACGAACTGCTGGATAAGAAGTCTCTAGAACTTTAAAACCTCTTATAAACTAGAAAATTTTATGTTTTTTTAAATTAAAAAAGGTTGACTATATATATTGGTAACTACACACTCTAACTGTATGTGGTAAGAGAAAGGATTTTTCTGTAAAAGAGACACAAGAAAGAGGGCCTTATTTGTATATAGCACTTGTTTATAGTAATTTACTACTTTTCTTCACCATCTGACATATGGCACCCCTAAAATCTCCTATCTAAATATTTTAAAAATTAAAATAAACAAAAATTTAAAAAACAAATGCAATTGTTTTACCTGTGATGAACCATCCTTAGCTTCCTGGAAGCATTCAGCTATAAAAATGTTATAAGCTGAGCGAGGTCTTTTTGGTTTTCCAAGCATTGTTAACTCCTGAGTAATAAAAATGGAAGAGTCAGATCTAGTTTTAACCTTTATGAGACTTAATTTTACCTACAGAATCTTTATTCACTACTATGCATTACAGAATGTTCCTTAAAGTGAACGTTATGATTCTTATATTTAGTCTGTGATTATTCTCTCTTGGGGTCAGGATTTTTTGATGGCACAAAATTTTGAAGATTATAATAGATTTTATAAGTTATTTTCCATACAAAAACATTCCCTTTACATATTATTTTCATGTTCTCCATAAACTAAATAACTGAGCACATATGTACAAAATCCTTTTTAAAAGACAAAACCATCTCAGTTTCATCCTTACAGGACACTACCATCTCCTTAGCCAAATCACTACATGGCCCCACCACAACTCACGAACACTGGAGCATGTTTAATAATCTCCCATTTCATTTCCTTCTCGGCATGTCTCTCAACCTTTAAACCTCAACAGATGTGTTACTAGGTATCAAAAGAGGGGGAAGAAAAGATGGAACAGAATACTAGTATCCCTTGCTATCTAAATTGAGTTTCTGAGTTCAGAGAATGAGGGATATTGAATTATCCTAACCTATTTAGTTTGAATTTGGATAGTGAGTAGCGCCTGTAATTTATAAAATTATGTGGCTTTGTATGGCAATTTGATTATAGGCAATAACAAACTCAACTTTTATTCATAAGTAAAAGGAGAGCTCCTCTGATTTACCTCTAGAGACCACTTCCTTCTTGAACTTCTCAGTCATGAAACTACTGTAGACTCTAAGCACTTGATAACAGAACTATTTCTCCTTGTTTCTAGAGCTACTGCTAGGGATCTCTCTCCTAGGTGCTTCACTTGCAACTTCTTGGTTCCCACACTTCTCGCCTAATCTCTAACTAGTGGGCACTGGGAATCTTTAATGGGAAGAAAAATTCCAACAGGGACTGAGAATGGAAGTCAGGGAAAAAACTCAGGCTTCCAGTTTCTGGTTCTACGGGTTAAGCTTGGAAGGCACCACTCCGTGCTAACAAAGAGTATAAAGCTGAAGAGACTGAAAAATCAACAACTTTTCTTGGATCCATAAGAGAGAGGACGCAGGGCAAACTTCTGCCCCCAAAACTGGAGAGACACACAGGTGAATACAGGGAGTCGAAGCTTAACAGAGCAGAGACTCCAGTGGAAACCACTGCGGGAACCGGTGCCAGGGTCGGAAAATCTGAATTGTAATTAACGAATTGCTGGAGGCTCCATGTGGGCAACTCTGGGAGTTTAAAAAATTCCAAGGGACCCAGTCATAGGAGGGAGCTCACAATATTGTTAGATTTACCTCCAAGAGCTCAACCAAATTCCCACAGTAAATATTGAGAAAAATCCCCTCCTGCTTCCAGGAAGGGGGAGAGAAAAAGGAACCATTTTGAAATGGCTGAGCACTCTATTATGCTTAATAAGGCCTGCCTGCAGGGATAACCAGTTAACCAGAGCCTAACCTGCTCTAGGGTTTTCTCAGTCTAACTGACCTGAGCGAAAGGAAGCACCCAACTCCAGCCCACTCTAGCCATCCTGTCCCACCTACAGGGGAGAGAAAAAACTGAGAAACACTTGTGAAGTTCACAGTCCAGAAGCATAGGCTCCCTAAAAGTCCAGGACCTAATCATAGGACTACAGAATGCTTCCCTTGCTCCCACACCTCACCACATTATTAAGTCCTATTTATAGCAGTTCCTTTTACCTAGTACATCATGTCCAGCTATTAAGAAAAATTCCAAGGCATACTAAAAGATTTTTTTTTTTTTGGTGACGAAGATTGGCCCTGAGCTAACATCCGTTGCCCGTCTCCCTCTTTTTTTTTTTTTTTTGAGAATGACCAGCACTGAGCTAACATCCAATGCCAATCCTCCTCTTTTTTGCTGAGGAAGACTGGCCCTGGGCTAACATCCGTGCCCATCTTCCTCTACTTTATATGGGATACCGCCACAGCATGGCTTGATGAGCGATGTGTAGGTCCGCACCCAGGATCCAAACCTGCAAACTCCAGGCTATCAGAAGCGGAGCATGCAAACTTAACCACTATGCCACAGGGCTGGCCCCTCCAAGGCATACTAAAACACAAAAAACATAACGTGCAGAGACAAAGCAAGCATCAGAACCAGACATGGCAGGAATGGTGGAATTACCAGATCAGGAATTTAAAACAATTATGATTAATATGCTAAGGGCTCTAGACACCACGCAAGAACAGACGGGCAATGTAAGCAGAGAGATGGAAATCCTAAGAAAGAACCAAAAAGAAATGCTAGAGATCAAAAACCCTGTAACAAAAATGAAGAATGCCTTTGATGGGCTTATAGGCAGACTAGATAAGGGTGAGGAAAGAATCTCTGAGCTAGAGGACATATTGATAGAATCCTCGAAAACTCAAAAGCAAAGAGAACAAAGACAAAAAAAACAAAAGAGAATACAATACCCAAGGACTATGGGACAACTACAGTAAGTGTTAACAAACACGTAATGGGAATACCAGAAGAGAGAGAGAAAGGAACAGAAATATCTGAAAAGGGAAGCCCCTTATATCTGTGAATTCTTATTTCTTGTCCTCCACTCTTAGCACTGGCTGGGTGCATTAAGGAGGAAGGGAGAGTAAACTCCACTACTCACCTCTCCAAATACCACCCCTGTGCAGAGACTGTATTTCTCACTCTTAGCATCTTTTCTGGCTCTCTTTTACTAATTGGATCAGCAGCCTTAGATTACCATCATTGACTTGAAATTAGGTGAGTCCTCAACCCTCCTGCTAGGAGGGCTTAAGACAGTAGGGTCAGGGAAAGATATCTGGACATCTCACATTCATGGCTGGAATCTGCTTTTTCAGAGAAAGTTTTAACTCTGATGACCACTTTCTATAGTACATGTACTGGACCAGCAAGCTGACCACCTCACATCTACTACTGGTTCCACAGAAAAAGAGAGTCTAAATTTCCAACAGTGGAATTTACGGGATTAACACCTTAAGCTGGGAACTACAAAATTTGAACCATGTGGCGTTTTTAGTGAGGGAAAGTAGGATTTCATCCTAAAGGCACTTCTTATTTGATTAGATACAATAGGCACTTTTCCTGGCTGTGTTAATGAACTCAGTCTATTCAGCAATATTCAGAATCAAACTCATCATTACTATAGAACAATTCAAATCAGTGGGTTATTCTAGACAAGAGCCAGAAGCAAAGATTCTTGCTATTCCTGATTCGGCTGTTTCATAACTCTGTTCCTACAGCTTTCATGCTAGTCCTAACTATACACCTTAAATCTGGATTCAACTCAAAGTGGCAACAAAGGTTTCCAAGACCGACTCAATGGCAAGTGGTCCTAGCGGCAGAAGAGAGCTATCCCCCTTTTTCCTAACTGGAGTACACCTGATCACATTCTACCACATAGCCACACACATCAAAATAAGAGAAAACTACCTATATTCATAGTTACATAAATTTCAGTTCTATGCCAAAGGAAAAGAACATTTCAATGATACTCACTCTCTTTTTTATTAATGCTTTCTTTCTTAACCGTTTTTGTGTGATTTCTTTTTCCAAAGATACCATCTGACTTGGAGTCAGCTGTTCTTGAAATCTGTTTATCTCTTCTTTGTATGCCTGCCAGTCTGCCCTGTAAGCATCTTCATATATCTATAAATAAAAAACCCAAATAAAAAGTCAATAAATTGTTGCTGGCAAATTACACATAGCACAGCCAGGGAAAGACAAACGCACAACTTCAGATAAAGACAGACTAAACCATCAAGCGGAAACGTGTTCTGGGATCACATTTATATGGATTAAAAACACGTACTTTTCATATGCATGCTAACCAAGGTGAGAGTCTAGCAACTAGCTTTCAATTTCAAACTGCTGCCAATCCTTCACCACCACCCCCATATATCCATATTCTCATCATTTATGTAGATCAGAAGGTATGAAGTTCCTTTGTACATGATGGATGTTAAAAAAAAAACTCTGAATCATCTGGTCCCTTAAAGGACATGACAATTGTTCTTAACTGCAGAATAACTGGTCAGCAATGTTGAAAACCTATATGCTTACTTTTTTCTCTGACTCAGGAAGTTCCCTCCATAGCTGGGCGATTTTTTTAATTAGTTCTGAATTTTTCGCATCTGTGGATTAGAATAAAATGAAAAAAGACGTCACAATTTTATGTCTCAAGATTAATTTCTAAAAACTTGCAGGAAAGCATTATCCATTAGCTCTAAAAGTTAGGTTTTATTACAGACACCTCCATACCACACACAACTTAATACGATTTAGCTTTTCTTTAACCAACCAATTTAAATATGATAAATAATTTAATACTTTATCGAACATTGTTAAAGTCTGTTATCTAATAATTAAGGAGTATATCACATACCACCAAAATGGACCTCAGAAACTGATTACTAGTTTAATAGGTCGGGTAATCAATTTATTCAAGTTTTTTACTTCAAATTTCAATCAAAACATTTTTTTCCAAGTCTTTCAGGGTTTATTAAGTTCATAAAACCTAACTAAACAACAAAATATAGTCTTGATTCCTATAACATCACTTTGTATTTCAATTACAGAAATACCATTTGCAAACAAAATTATTCTAAAATCAATTCACTATTCCCCATTTCCTTCCTTCATCTTAACTGGAATGACAGGGTGTAAATGATTTAACAAACCACTTGTTAGTTTCAACTCCCACATTTTAAAAGATGTGAGTACTTAAGCATCTCTTAAACCAACTCTTTATAATGAAAGAATTTTTTTATTTTTGGTGAGGAAGATTGGCCCTGAGCTAACATCCATTGTCAACCTTCCTCTTTTCGCTGAGGAAGATTAGCCCTGAGCTAACATCTGTGCCCACCTTCCTCTATTTTATATATGGGACACTGCCATAGCATGGCTTGATGCCATCATAGCACGGCTTGATGCACAGTGCGTAGATCCAAGCCCGGGATCCAAACCTGCAAACCCCGGGCCGCTCAAGCCGAGCATGCGAACTTAACCACTACGCCACCTGGCCGGTCCCTATAATGTGAGAATATTTATTATAGCTCATTTGATTTTCACAAGTGCTCTGTGATGTACTGCATCTGAAAGAGCTTTAGAAATCATAAGCAAAGATTAGCTATTATTAATTTAGTTATTATCTTTACACTATAACCCCAAAGGAAGGCCCTACAGCCTTTTTAGGGAGGTAACAAACATCCTACCTGGAAATCTTTTTTTCAGGAACCCAAGACAAGAACCAATTTTCAGTGAAAAAGCTCTTGAAATTAGCAGTAATTTGTACACAGCTTTACAGTTTACAGAACACTTACTTCCACATAAATTATTTCACTGCAACTTCATTAACAATTCCCTGAGGCAGAAGAAGGAGCTAAGCAAGAGATTAAATGATTCTTCAATGGTCCTCTAAGCCAATGGCAACTAGGCCCAAAATTCAAGTTTTTCATCCTCTTCCCTGGGGGCTTTCCACCCTACATGCTGCTATTTTTAAAACACCTTTCATTAGTTCTCAATTATATTTAAAGCCTTTCTATTTGGTAAAAAATGTTATACCACCTATTTTACAGACCATCAAACAGAATGGTTAGGTTTCTGCAGTCACTGGAAGCTTTGGAAGTGCAAATCAAGTTTGCAGTTTAACTGCTTATCGGCCTCTTGATTACATCAGAGAAGAGTACAAGCCCCCAAATCTCCTTACCTGGGTTCTGAGCTTTAAATATGGGTAGCTGTTCTTTAGAAAATCGAACATATGAAGTCATAGGTTTCTTTGGATAAGTACCCAAGGTGGACGAAAAATTTCTCGGCACATATGCAAAACTACATAGAAATAAAAAGAAAATAACCAATATCAAGTATTTAAGTACCAATATTCATATGTATATGAACACAGATTTCCAAATGTCATCAAGATGCTATATAGTATCTGCACCTTCGACAAGAAAGCTAGTGACATTTAAAATCCTACCCTAACCAGAGGGCAGAGCCTGCAGAACTGAAGTCTCAAAGCCCTCAGCTCCTAGGAAGGACAGAGAGCGGAGGAAAGCATCTATAGTCCAGCTCCCGGGCCCCGCCTCCTCAACACCTAGATGATGGCGGGAATCTTTTGGCGCGACTTCGCAGATGCTGCTGAGCAGATGCTCCAAGGCTGGACAGTGGGGAGGGGCGAGGAGGAAGGGGAAGGTGGAAGACGGCCGGAAGCAAGGAACGGGGTACTCCTGGAGTAAGGCCTGGACTCAAAGCCACCATCCCCTTAGCAAGGTCGAGGTCTGAGTCAAAAGGCCAAGGTGGCCCTGACCTCCTGGAGGGACAGACAGGGGAGGAAAGCGTCTACAATCCAACCCCAGCGCGTCCTGCGCCCTGCCGCCTCCTGAGACGCAGGAGACCGGTCCTACCTGAAGGGAGAGCGCAGCCGACTTGCACAGCCCGTGCAGATATCCGCTCCGCACTTTCCCAGGGCGCTCAGCACGCCCCACACGCCCCGGAGAAGCGCCATTGCACACGCCGACAAGGCGGTGACCTGGCCCGAATTTCGCAGAACCCCCTAGCACAACAGAACAACCCCAACAATGACAACTTGAACCCGCGTGCGACCCTCCTGCATTTGCTATCATGCCCGCCTCTCGCAAAGCACTCTGGGAACTCGGATAATACCCGGCTGGCAGGTAGGGGGCGGGGCAAGGCAGACTTGGCGCAGGCGCCGTAGTGGCCTCCCCCAGTGGGCGGGACTGCGAAGAAGGAGGAGGAGCTCGGGGGCGGAGAAGGGAATCCGCAGCCCAGCTTGCCTGCCGGAGGGCTCTGGCCTTGAGGGGCCGCTGCTGGGCCGCCTTTGCCCCTGGCCCCCACCCTCAGCAGTTGGTTCCTCTGCCGGGCCAGGAGGCTGATGGAGACGCGGCGGCGGCGGCCTCACCCCGACTGGGCTCTGGATGGCGTCCGCCTGTGACGGCCGGAAGGGCTGCTGCGTAACAGACAGTTTACCACCAGGACACGGGATAGCTGTGCTGCCTGCGCTGCTCTGAGGACAGGTTGGCGGGTGCTGCGCGCCCAGCGGCCCGCTCAGTTCAAGCCGGAGCTGGAGCTTCGAGTCCGAAAATACTGCCCGGGGGTGGGGCGTGTTTTCAAACCTAAAAATGCAGATTTCCGGGCATTGCCTCAGAGCCTGATTCAGTACGTCTGTGTGGAGCCCATGAATCTGCGTTTTTAACAAGTTCCTCAAGGTTTAAGTTCTAATGCCCGTGATCATAGGACCACATTTAAAGCAATACTGATGAAGACCATCGTCCCATCCACTGCAACTATCGCTGACCCAGCCTTCAAGCCTGACATCCAACTCTGCTTAATTTGTAGGGAGGAGACTTTGGCTAGTTAGTTGTCCGGAGACTCGAGTTCCAGCACCAGCACTACCGTTAACGTCTTGATCCCGGAGTGTAGCATCCCCTCTCTAGGATTCATTTTCCCACACTGCAGATGACGATGTTGGATTAGATCAGAGTTTTCCAACCAAAGCCCTGAGAACGTATGACAAGTACGCCTTGAGATATTGATTGATGTGCTGTACAACCATTTTCTGTGTAGGCAATGGCATGAAAAAGATTGGGAGGACCTAAAGATATCTAAGGCCCTTTCAGCTTTTACGTTCCAGTTATTTCAAAGATAGCCACCTCTCCAGACAGCCTTTTCTCTGTTGGATAGCTGTAATTGTTAGAAAATTCTTACCAGTGTAATACGCATTGAGCTGAGAGCCTACAGTCTTTCTGTAGCTTGGAAACATTGGCTCTTTGGTGCTACCGAAGACGAAGCCCACTTCTTCTTTTAAGTGGTAATCAGCTGTTACCACTTCCCTTTTCGTAGACTCGCAGGATTGAGAGAGACCTTCCAGGTCATCTGTTCAAACCTCCCATCTTGTTCATGGAAGAAACAGCTTTTTTTTTTCCTGAATACATACTATGTACAAGGCCCCAAACATGGATAAAAGACACACCATTTCCCCCACCCCCAGTAACGTCTAATGGCAGAGGCAAAGAAATAAACAATTACAATGCAGTGCCAAGATAGAGGTAAGTATAGGACAGAATTCATTATAATTACATTTTAGCTGATTTCAGAAATAATTTTTCTCTATATTTTTCTACAATATTTTTGTTCTTTCAAATGTTTGATATAAAAAATTCTTTGGGATATTTAAAAAATCTTTTTGTTGTTTTAAAGTGTCATTTTGATAAATCGTGCTGTAAAGTTCTTATAAATTTAATCTATAACATTTCTATTTTCGTCAGATACCAATATTTCTTGACTCATTTACATTGCAGTGATAATTTTATTCCAAATGCAGTATTTACAAAGAAAATATAATTCTACCTACTTAAACTGTCTTCGAACAAAAAGCCACGGTTTCATTTATATTTACTTTATAAAACATGAAGACTTACCACAGACTTTCCCAGGATTTTATCCCTTTAAAAGTTCATCTCCGGGGCCTGCCCCGTGGCTTAGCGGTTAAGTGCGCGCGCTCTGCTACTGGCGGCCTGGTTCGGATCCCGGGTGCACACTGACGCACCGCTTCTCCGGCCATGCTGAGGCCGTGTCCCACATACAGCAACTAGAAGGATGTGCAGCTATGACATACAACTATCTACTGGGGCTTTGGGGGAAAAATTTAAAAAAAAAAAAAAAAAGTTCATCTACTCCCATGACTTCAACTATCCGTTATATTCTCGTGATTCCTATATATTATATTAAATCTAGACCTCTCGTTTTAGTCCTGTATCCATATAACCACTGTCTTCTGACATCTTTACCATAATATCCCCCAGATACTTGAATTTTCCCTGAACAGAATTCACTCTCTTTTTCTGATCTTGAACTCCTTCTCTTGGAAAGAGGCACCGGTATCCCATTTGAATCATCCAAGCCAATAACTTGATGAATCACTTTATCATCTCCCCCATTGACGCTCAACCCCTATCAACCAACTGATGATAAGTACTGCTGATTCTACCTCATTAACCCCTTAGCAAGTATTCCCTCCTCACCAACCCCATTGCTGTTGCTTTTGTTCAGGCCAGTAGTGTTGGTAAATCAACTTTCCAAAAAGAAAGCCCTAATTTGTAGTGTTTGCCAAGATCTATGATGTAGATACTCCCACTGTGGCTGATTTCAAACTACCACCTTGATGTCACTGCACCTGAAGCTGCGAAGAGATATACATAATTGGCTCTCCAGCCAGTACCAGCCAGCTCCTTTGTGCCGCTGGTTCAGGCTCTGCCATCTTTTCCCAAACTCTTGCAGAGGTTTTCTGACTTTCAGTCTTACTTTCTTCCAAACCGTATTCCACACTGTCACTAGGTCAGTCTTTCTGAAAGGCAAATCCCATTTATTCATTTGTTCATTGAGTATGTATGAAGCACCAACTCTATGCCAGGCAGGCAATGATCACATTTCTTTACTTGAAACCTTCAGTGGCTCCTGATTACCCACAGAATCAAGCTTAAATTCTTATACATGGCATACAAGTCCTCCATGAACTAGTCTGTTTCCTCTATAGCTTCATTCCTTACTTCACCTTTGCTTGAAATAATTTATTATTTAAATACCTATTTCTTCTTCTGATTTAATAAATACATCAAACCTGAATTTACCCTTACATTTTGTGTGATATGTCAAAGTTATGTAAATTACTGGACAAGAATACAGGCTTAGAAGTTAGATCTAGGTTCAAATCCTGCTCTTGTTACTTACTACCTGTGTAACCTTGCCAAATGACAATCTCTCTGACCCAGGGTTTTCCCTTCTGTGAAATGGGGACAATAATGGTTGATTCTTAGGATTTCTGAGAAGATTAAATTAGAAGATGTATAAAAAGTTCTTAGCAGAGTCCCTGGCACATAAGAAAGTCTCAATAAATAGGGGCTATAATTATCCTTACATTATTCATAACAATTATTATTAGCTTCTAGATAACTGTAGGTACCATGTGCATTGTCCCCAAGCAAAAAAGTTAGATTTGCATCACAGCCCTGTCATTACTTTTTTTGTCATTTCCTCTCCCTATTAAATAAAATAGATACATATTATATACCAGCATTGCTCCTCTCTTCCTATTGAACTTTCAACATTTCTTAAATTAGTGATGTTTGAGCATAAACACTATGGTAGGTGATTAAAAATTAAAACAACATACCGTTAGGTTGGAATCATACTTTAACGTTTTTCAGAACATTTTTATAAAATTTTATTTAATTATATGATTCACAAATTGAAGAAGTAGACAGAGAAGATACTATCATGATCATAGTTCCCAGCTGACAGATGAGAAAAATTAAGTTCAGACAGCCCAAGTCATAAGGTTACAAGAGTAAGTTGTGGAGGTGAAAACCTGGTCTTCCTATTCACTGTCTTGTGCTTTTCCCATTATATCAAACTACCCCTGAGACTCAGTCAACACATCACATCATTCCAGCCCAAAATGTCTTCCGTGTATCTTCTATAGTGTGTAAGCTTGTATTATTTACTTGTGACATATCATAGACCACTGTGGTTTTTAATCTTTTTTTGGGTGTATATATTTTTTTCCTCAATAGATGGTAAGCTACTTGAGGACAAGACTAAGTCTTATGCTTTTTTCTATCCCTTATAGTACCTAGCATAGTACATTGATCATGACAGATGGGTGGATGGAGGGAGAGACAGACACACAGAGAAAGAGAGAGGAAATGTGAAAAGATCAGTATCTGCACAAATTATTTATGTACAAATTTGGCCCCATAGAAAACAGCAACTACCTGTTAGAAGTGTCATTTACCAACAAAGGGGACAGTTTTGTTTGGAGATGGGAACCATGTAAAATTTTGGAATGTACATATGAAAGTAACGATCCTGGTTTATTGATACTTGCACATTGGTAAAGCTAAAGGTAGCATCAATATATAGCAGCAGCAGTCAGAGACCAAGATAATTCTCTGCTGAATAATGGAGTTAGATACATAGATATCACTCAAAGAAAAAATATTCCTAAGAGAAAGCAGTCATGCGTTTGTAATTATAATGGATAAATATTTCAGTTACAATAGGAACAATCACGTAATCGTTTTAGCATGAGGAATAGATATGATTCTGAACTCATAAGTAAAATATATTTCTAGAAATAAGATCATACTATAAACACCACATTCAAAAACAATTTACTCATCAGCAATTAAATAGCACTGTGATAGGCATTGGAAGTGGCACGAAAAGGATGACATTGTTCCTGTCCCAAAGAGGTTACGCTCTGACTGAGGAAACAAAGTATAAACACATGAAAATCACAAAAGTATAACAATTCATTGCAACAATATGAGAAAAAATTTATGATCTGAATATCTCCTAGCATATCTTTCCTATAAATCAAGATTTTAATAAATTATACATGTAGAAAACCACATTATAATGGTTTCCTTCAAACCATTTTCATTCACATAGGGTCTGTTATCACCTCACTGGAGTTTGTCTTTAAAATCAGTACACAAAAGGATGTAAGGGAGAAAAAAAGTAGAAAGAAAGACCTATTGCATGTTAATAGTTCCCAGATATCCAAATTAGTTTATGAATTATTTCACAATTAGAACAAAGTCTGTGTGCAGCCTTAATTGTTAAGAGCATATCGGCGTTATTTTTAGCCATTGCTGTGGCAGCATTATGCGTAATAAATATAGCTTTTCTATTTTAAAGCTGATTCTATGAGTCAGCAGGAGGTAGGACAAGCAAAAAGGATGGCTATAATTTTATGCAAATTTTTAAAACCTAAATTCGTATTGCTGG